GTCAGCCAAGGCACGGATCAGGTCGACACTACGATAGTTTAGATGTGCATTTCATCGTTTGGTCATTAGGATAGGCCCCAGCGAGGATATTCGTGAACAATCATGCAGTCACGCGCTCTGACATTTCTCAATGTATACTGAAACGCTGAGACCAAGAATAAAGGTTCTAAATGATCAGAAAGAACGCTTATGTGTTTTCATGCTAGGGAATTCCCAGGGGTTTCCCCAGGAATGTGGAAGTAGTCCGTCAGTGTTTACGTCATTTCAAGAACACGGTCTCGTGAAAAACGTATGAACGTCAAATTGTGTCGTTCATAAACCTATGAACGTCAATTTCGTCAACTCTCGTCCAATGGAAAAACCGTATATCGTGTAAGCTTCAAATTAAAAAATTATATATATATATATATATATATATATATATATATCACTAGTCAGTCATTCGACACTGGTTCGCGGTTGGGAGTAGATGTAACAATGCCACTAAATGTATTAGTTTAATCAAGTTTAATCTCACTTAATGCCTTACTTCGGCCAAGTATATATTCTACTCCCAACCGCGAACCAGTGTCGAATTACAGACTAGCGAGAGAGGCTTGTCGACATTTAAATAAAGCATAATAGATACAGCCGGTGATTCAACAAGAGGCTTTTATACATCGTATACGACGAGAGGTCGTGGGAAACTGTCTGCAAATGGGCTACATTCCACAAGCCATTCTTGACTGTACTTAACACTTCTATCTACCATTGTTGTCGACACACACTTCCTTGTTGATGCAATACAATTGCAGTGTTTTTTTCTATTTCATCATTTCATAGTTTTTATAAAATTCATGGCGTCGTCTACAATGTGTGTTGAAGGGGGACTACATCGTGTACATGGCGTCGTCTACAATGTGTGTTGAAGGGGGACTACATCGTGTACATGGCGGCGTCTACAATGTGTGTTGAAGGGGACTACATCGTGTACATGGCGTCGTCTACAATGTGTGTTGAAGGGGACTACATCATGTACATGGCGTTGTCTACAATGTGTGTTGAGGGGGGACTACATCGTGTACATGGCGTCGTCTACAATGTGTGTTGAAGGGGGACAACATCGTGTACATGGCGTCGTCTACAAGGTGTGATGAAGGACGACTACATCGTGTACATGGCGTCGTCTACAATGTGTGTTGAAGGGGGACTACATCATGTACATGGCGTCGTCTACAATGTGTGTTGAAGGGGGACAACATCGTGTACATGGCGTCGTCTACAATGTGTGTTGAAGGGGGACTACATCGTGTACATGGCGTCGTCTACAATGTGTGTTGAAGGGGGACTGCATCGTGCACATGGCGTCGTCTACAATGTGTGTTGAAGGGGGACTACATCGTGTACATGGCGTCGTCTACAATGTGTGTTGAAGGGGGACAACATCGTGTACATGGCGTCGTCTACAATGTATGTTGAAGGGGGACTACATCGTGTACATGGCGTCGTCTACAATGTGTGTTGAAGGGGGACAACATCGTGTACATGGCGTCGTCTACAATGTGTGTTGAAGGGGGACAACATCGTGTGCATGGCGTCGTCTACAATGTGTGTTGAAGGGGGACAACATCGTGTACATGGCGTCGTCTACAATGTGTGTTGAAGGACGACTACATCGTGTACATGGTGTCGTCTTCAATCTGTACAATCTGTCGTCTACCTGTGTACTTAGCTCGCCAAGGCTCGCTAAATAAAATATTTATTCCTAATGCAGGATATTTACCATCCCCAAACACACTCGCGTGACAACCTCTATATATCCATGGATGGCATATATTAATGGCGAGGTGTATTACATTTATAAAGAGGCAGTGTAAGCCCAAAACCCCGATACACTCTTATTTCAAAGTTTAAGTTTAATTGCAGCACACACGAATACCTGTTTACAATGCCTGTAATACGTAAGGAATCGTGTCCTCGACAACATTGTTATTAAAGGCAGATTATTATCATAACGAAGCTGAGGTCGTGTTAATGGGATGCTGAGGCAGTTGAGGTTCAAGATGGGCATGTTACCCAGCATGCACTTCGTTCAAGTATCTCTTCACTCTGAGTTATCTGTGTAAGCGATAAGATTGCTTTCACTGTGTGTATCACTTTTTTCGAAATGCCCTCACCTTCACATGAATGCATGGGATGTTGAAATATGAACGACCCATGATTGTCGAAGCGAAATATTTTCAGATATATCTCGACTCATACAGATCTGTTATATATTGTCTATTAAAGTTAGAAACATGACCATTCCGAAACTGAACACATAGGTCGAGTGCAGATACTATTACACTATGAAACAACCGGGTGCATCACTTATCGATCCTCACAGCTCAGTATAACGGTCTAATATACAGAAAATCAGTGTCTAACTGTGTCGTAGCTAAGGCATTTTACAAGTTTGGGCAACTTTGGAGAAATTAATTGCGAAACAATTTTGCGAGGGCACTAGCAGGGGATCTAGCGGGATCGGTAGCCATATCTGTGCTCGTAGACCTCTGTGGCTTGGAGCCTTTTCCACCAATTAAATGAGTTGGATTTGGCCGAAATATGTTTTAAATACATAAAGAAGCGTGTCCTCGACACTCTTTCATTGTTATTAAAAAGAAGCAGTGTATCAACTCCTACAGAGTGTAAGCCTCAAACCCTGATACACTCTAATTTCAAAGTTTAAGTTTAAATGCAGCACACACGAAGACCTGTTTACAATGCCTGTAATACGTAAGGAATCGTGTCCTCGACACATTAACATTGTTATTAAAGGCAGATTATTATCATAACGAAGCTGAGGTCGTGTTAATGGGATGCTGAGGCAGTTGAGGTTCAAGATGGGCAAATAGTTACACAGCATGCACTTCGTTTTAAACCCCTACAGTCCGAGTTGTCTGTGTAAGCCATGAGGTTTGTTTTCACTGTGTGTGTCACTATATATTTTAGAAATGCCCCAGCTTTACATGAATGGGATTTTGAAATATCAACGATCCATTTTTGTTCAAGCGAAATATGTTCAGAAATCTCTCGACTTAAACAGATCTGTTATTTAATTGTCTATTGAAGTCACAATCATGACCATTCCGAAACTGAACACAAAGGTCGAGTGCAGATAACATTACCATATGAAACAACCGGGTGCATCATGTCAACGTGACATCACTTATCTCTCGCAGCTCACAATTCATCATTCTCGGAGAATGCTTGCTTCGTGGACTTATAAATAGAACGAAAAGTAGGTATCGGATAACCGTGATCACATGACGTGACGCACCTCTTCCTCTAGATTCATTTCTTCATCGTTCTGCGGAGTGAGGAGAGCTGTTACATATACAACTACATCGGCCCGTGCGTCAGACTTACAGGTGAGCGTTACTAATACTCGATAAGTAGTTACTAGTTGTATCTACTGTATTTTGAGGGGCAGCGGGAGATCAAGGTTTTCTTGTTTTCAAAAACCTGTGTATGGTTTCCCACATGTGAAGAACGCATGCGTGAAGCCCTTTATCAACGTCCCCAGATACATACTAATATTCATAACAATATCATAGTTTGTATTGTAAAATTTCCTGAAGTGTGTATGCTTTGTCTCTTGTAATTAATACTTTAAATATGCCTGATTTTTAAATTGCATATCCGTATAGAAAACACACATCAAGAGTGTGATGGGTTATCATAGACTGGGTACCTGTCTACCAACATAAAGTAGCCTGGCTTGTTTATCAATTCGACACACCCCGTTGAGCTGGCAATTGCGTTGTGTCTGAAGCTGTTGTAGTTCGATATCGAGGCCAAAAATAGACGAAATAAATAATATATAAATAATTGAATGCTAGCCTTTATCTACTAGCGCACCTACAATGTGTGACTGTTTCTTTAAGAACTAACATGTTATTGTTCAATATCATACATACAATTATTTTCAATTTTATTTAGGGGCGGTCGGGTAGACTAGTGGTTAAAGCGTTCGCTCGTCACGCCGAAGACCCGGGTTCGATTCCCGACATGTGTACAATGTGTGAAGCCCATTTCTGGTGTTCCCTGTCGTGATATTACTGGAATATTGCTAAAAGCGGCGTAAAACCATACTCACTCACTTTTATTAATTTTTGCCTTAGGTATGAGCAATACAGTGTTTTACCACTACACGAATAAGGATGGGAAAAACGCTATAGAGCAGAGTTTGCGTATCAAGGAAAGTCGTTCTACACCCCAGAGTGGCGATGTCGCCTTCGGCGAAGGTAGGTTAGTAAGCAATGTTTTGAAGGCGTGTTTTCTATCAATATATCATGTTCTTGAAGAAAGGCGACACATTTCACCAGTGTTGTAATTGACAGTTATATTACAACTTAGCGTATATTCACAGACACAATTACAATCACGGTTTCTCTCTACTTGACTCAAGCAAAATGTGAAATATGCTTACTAAAGGTCAGCTGATTAACTACACGATACCCTTGAAGATCCGGGTTAGAATTAGTCTTCAGCATGCCATGCTTGTCGTTAGAGGCGACTAACGGGATCGGGTGGTCAGGCTCGCCGTCTTGGTTGATGCATGTCATCGTATCCCAATTGCGTGAATCGCTGCTCATGATGTCAATCACTAGATTATCAGGTCCAGACTAGTATGATTTGGAGACCGTCGTAATACAGCTGGAATATTGGTGAATGTGGTGTAACACAACGAATAACAAAGGTTTATACCAACGCTGTATATATTGCATTGTAGGAGTGTATGGAACGACCATGGACCCAGACCTCTTCTCGAAATACGAGGTGGCCAAGAACAACTACGACACCCGTCCCGGATACTGGGAGATGCTGATGGATATCGGGAGGGTAGATTATGCCATCAAGATCATCCTCCCAACATCGAGTTTGAAGCTTGTGAAACACAAAACACGTGACATACTCATCCATAAAGGGGATATCGATCTTCGCAAGTACACATATCAGGTTATTAAAGTAGAGGACGAGGACAGCGAGGACAGCGACTGACTCCCGTAATAACGCTTCCATTCGCTGTCGAAGAATGTCATAAATCTGTTGTCTGAATCTTTAACATTTAATGAATAGGTTTCAATTTGTAAAAGAAGAGATCTCTGTTGTTGTTTTCAAATATTAGACTGTATAGTAAATAAAGTGACTAAACCCATTCTGTATTAGAATTTGTATTTAGTGTTTAAAATATATTTTTTTTTACTTAAAGAAACTATTTATCACAAACAAGACAAAATGCAAACAGGACGTGTTATCGATGTCTTCGTAATCGTGTAGGATTTTAAAGCCGCTGTCTCATCTGAGTAAAAATGATGTAATGAGTGAAAGGTTTGAAGTGAGTGAGTGAATGCCGTTTTGCGCCGCACTCAAACAATATTCATGTTACCACATGACGGCACGTACATAGTCTGGGACAGATAGACTAGTGGTTGACAGCATGACCACGCCATCGGGGCACGATGACCCTAAATAAACAAGGTCACCATTCTTCTTCAGTCGACTGTCACAAGGGACCCTGCTAGAGGCTTCAGGGGTGGATGTACATCCTACTACTATTATACAACTATAAAAATATTCATTTGCAGTTTTAGCATTATGAACCGTCACGTCTCAATGAGATAATAAAAATAGTGTCTGGTCGATCGTTGGTATATATTGAGGCACTGCATATCCGAGATCCACGTATACACGAAGATGCTGACGGAATTCTAAATTGAATGTTTGCAAGTGTTACGTGTCGACTTCCAGATTGAAACATTATGTTAACCCAGAAATCTGTACGTAAAATAACTTGTACACAATTAACAGAGTTGATTGGTTTCACAAATCAACACAAAATTACTGCACAGTAATTACAATGGCAGTAGAACACAATAGAGTGGTAGTACAATATTCAATGGCAATACATACTATCATGGCAGTGGTCAGTATCAAATACAAAAATACAGTGGTGATAGCAAAAGTCAGTGATAATAGTATAGTCACGAAGCAGCGATGTGGTCAAGCATTTGAGATGGTCCCGACAGTGAATACGGGGTGATCTTCACACGAAAGCTGGTCTTGGTTTATTTAGGAGATAAACCTACTGTGTTTTGAAATTTGATGTAGTCCCACTGTAGAATAGAAACCTCTTTATTATAATTTTGAACCTCGCGCGAGTGTCAAAATTATAATAAAGAGGTATCTATTCTACAGTCGGACTACATCAAATTTCAAAACACAGTAGGTTTATCTCCATTCTACCATGACGGCAACAAGGCTTGAAAAAGGCGCTCTCTTGCAACGCGTAATAACACAGGTGCACAGGTCCGGGATCTTAGAACATTCCGAAAAGTGGTCACATGTAGTTATATATGTAACAAATATTACTAAAGTTCAAGATTAAAAAACACCAAAGTCGTGAGTTGTTCATAATAAGTGTTCAAAACACATAGTTTTTCAAACGAAGTTGACAAATAACACTCCTAACTTAATCCAAAGAGAGATGTTTTAATTTCTATCAAACTGTTGCACACTGTTGAACACTGTCGACTGGCTGTCGTTTCTCGGAAATTTGTGAGAGAGGTAATTTCTTGGAAATCGAACATGCCATCATTTCTATTGTAGGGGTGACGGGTAATAGAAAAAGGTTTTAAAATGCTAAATGAATATATTTCTACAGCAAACTTTATGAATTAACATTCTAATATACACTTAACATGTCTAAGAGTTATTAGTTAGATAGCAATTACCCCCAGTAAACAACAATAACATCAAAGTAAATGCCTCTCCACCCTGAACTTGGATGTGGCAGAACTTGACCTAAATCACGGTTACTCACACCTCACAGCTGTCAATGGCTGACAATCATGTGTTTACATTAACTTGATCTAGTTAAAAGAAGCAAGATGACAACCCCGATCTTTGATGTGGTTCAACATTTACCTGTAGATTTACTGGGATTGATCGAGCCCGCGGGTACATCCATATGATTACCAATGGAACCGAGTATGACTGAACAGCCGCTGTTTAGGCTGCAGACGGGCCGGATATTTTGAAACGAGGAATCTGCATGGTGTGACCTGTCAACTTTTCAAGATTTCACGGATCCAAAGCCAAATAGTGACAGAACTTAGACATTTCTGGTCCAGAAATAGTAGGTCGTGTATAATTTTCATAATTGTGCGTGTTCTGAAATGAATTTTATCAAGTTTGATAAGCTGTCACTTCAGTTGGGACATTGTTTTCGTGGACTTTCGAAAGGGAGTGTTCTCTGATGCACTTTCAAATCCCCTCCTGCCAAATTCTAACGGTGGTGGTTGAAGGAGATGGTAATGGATATCGATCAGAAAAAGGTTTGTCAACACCATGTTGTCATAAATAAAATGTCTTCAAACACATTTTGTTATGTTATATTTCACTTTCATTGCCGGTTGTTTCAATATGAAATTACCTGTTCGTGGGTTTCAGAAAAGGTTACCAAAAAAATGAACAATTATTATTTTTTCAACAAAATTTATTAGATATCACTCTTTCACTTATTTTGAATGTGTGAATCTTTGAATTATACCTCCCTGAATTGAGAACCGTCCTAACGTGTCCCGGTTGTCACTAGATCTGCACTGCACTCTCAGTTATGGCTGCCAAAGAAATTGTTAACAGTAACAGTGCAGTTAAAGAATTGTAGGAAGCCAGAAGACAACCCAGTAATGTGCGTGTGATGCTGTTCAACATTCACATGTTGACTAACTATCCCTGCTGGTGTGATGTTGCTACCACCCTGGAGAATGGCTGAATACCGCCTTTTTTGAGCCGAAGAAGAATCACAATTATATGACATGAGGGACTGCTCGTTTCTGTGCCCTGTCAATTTCATTATTTCGCGGCATTCCACGCCAGCATGGGAAAGTAGTGTGACCGTTGTGGTCCTGACACAGTGATAAGTGTATATTTTGCTCATCTTTGCCTCTTCTGAAATTGATAAGATTTCATCATTTTAGACAAACCGTTGTGGCCAAGTGCATGTGCGGTGTACCAGTGAGTGTCGGGAGACGTGTTTTTGAGTTGTCGTGGTCTTTGGAAGAGAGCATGCAGTGTTTTCTGGATGCAATTTGGAACATACTGTTTGAATGAAGCAACGGGACAGGAAGGGGTAGCAGTGGCATATATGCGTGGTTTTGGTTCGTTCGAATCACGAAGATCGCCACGGTGTTTTTTTTGTCAACTCACTGTGTGTGCTAGTGATAAACTCGCACCCTACGTCGTCGACCTCGACACGGAAAGAATTGCGAGTGAGCTCACGTTGATTTTCAACCCCCTGCCTGCAAAATCCTACTGTCAGATCAAACCAGACCATCTTTTGAAGGCCAACTGGATTGTCTACTAATTGATTCGATCTGATTTTCACCAAATCCCCCTCCGAAATAGGCTCATAGTGAGTAGATACATCCAACCCAAGTTTCTTAATTTTTCGAAGCATCCCCATAAAGACAATGTTCGCACTGACAAACTTTTGATCCTGCAGCATGTTCAATGAACGCTCATACGGTGGTTGAGGGAGATGGCTATGAATCGCAGATCTAATGCCGACAAAGGAAGACTTCGAATAATACTGTCCATTGGAATTTCGGACCTCAGCGTAGAAAACTTTCAATGTGTTGTTTAATTCTTGAGGTGAAAGGGTCTCAAAACTTGGCGATTTGTCTCGCTAAGCAAGCCATTCTGGAAATAGAAATTCATATTCTGTTACCGGAGGACTTGTAAAGTAGGTAAGTAATAACTCCAATGGTTACATTTTCAATTTATTTGTATTTCTGAAATTGTAAATATCAAGAAGTATTGTGCATATTCAATTCAATGTCAACTCGTCACATTTCAATATTTTCTTTGTTTTTTCATAAGTAGGACATCTAAATATAATTATTTAATATAATTATTCCTTACGTTTGAATATCTTAATCGCCCAACTAGTGTATTTATTGGTGCTTTGTGCCTTAGAGTTCATTACTATGGACTCGATCTCATCAGCATCGAGAGTGACGAAGTGGCGAGAGTCACTAGTAGCGGCAGACGTCATTCCCTCGCTAGTCAGTGTAGGCTCTGTCACTTCTGTCGGAGCACTGCCGGGCCCTAATGGACAGTAAATACATATTTCTCAAACCTCTCCATCAGGGACCATATAGAGCAACACTCAAACATCCAGATCCAGTGGACCAGCATCACCGTTTTGGCCTTCTAGCTTAAGAACCTCCTCATCATGAAACAAACTATTAAAATGGCATCAACATTCAAACTACGCATCAACAGACATCATGGTTACTTCATCCCTGTCACCATCCTTTAACTACAATGGCATTTGGAATACACATTGTCATCAGGCATCCCTACAGATTACAACCCAGCTTCTGTTGGGAAGTGACACTGTTGATGTCGAAGACGTCATCTATTGCTACATGTGCCATTCGATATCCTCTTTGTTGATTTGGTTACACCCTGTAAGATGTGTGTTGCTGGACCGCTGCTCAAGTGCTTATCACTTAGGTGTGTACCCAAATGTCAACAAGAGGCATTTACTTCTTGTTTGTTACCCTTGCTTCTGAATTCCGCTTCCAGATATGTACAGCCTTTATTTAGGATTTCTTCTATCTGAGCGGGAACCCACATTGTGACGGGATGATACATATTGCTTGATATGTGTAAAGTTATGTGATCAGCATTATTCTCACGTAATAAATTCAAATATTAGACATAAAAATGCCAAAAGGTACCAGTGAATCCACAAGTAAATGTGGTACAAGGCAGATTTTACAATGTTTTAATTTTTCAAAATATCGGCACCTTAGCTGGCAACTTTAATAACAAGTTAATTTTGATTTCTAGTCAGTCTTTGCAAAAGAAAACAGCTCCTAATTGTATGTAAATAAGAAAATCAGCCTCCATCTGCTTGAACAAAAATGACTCAGCCTCAATAAAAAACTCGCCCGCAATATGGCCATCAACATCAGTACAGAGTATTTCGTGGGCAAAGCCATAATCTTTGACATCACCATGAGAGAAAAATTGTCTGTAACCCTTATTTATTAAAATCATTTCACATCTTCCATTTCAAAAGACCACTATGCAAGTCACAGTTTTGCATACTTGGACAAGATTATTGACACCGCTTGTCCCACTGTG